TTTTGGTGGTAGCAGGGATCGAACTCAGGACCTTGTACTCAGGACCTTGTACTTGCCAGGCAAGCATTTATTCCACTGAGCTATCTCCCTAGCCCACAGTCCAGCTATTTCTAATATTGAAATATTGAATATTTCTAATATTGAACCAGGCCTTCATACTGAGTTATCCTCCCCCCCTTTTTTTTATAGATAGGGTCTCTCTAAATTACCTTGGTGGGGTTTTTTTTTTGGTGGCCTGCTCAGCCTGCCCTAGGAGCAGGGCTGGCACGGCATATGGTACCGGGAATTGAACCTGGGTCCCTGAACCTCGGTTCCTGCGATTGCCTCAGCTTGCCTAAGCAGCCGCGTTAGCCCGTTGAGCTAGCTGGCCAGCTGCAAGTTAAAACTTGCGATTCTCCTTTCTCAGAGGTGGGGATTCTAGCAGCACCTTGCTTCTGTGCGCTGGCTGGTCGGTCGTGCATCCACACACAGGCATCTATCGAGTGCTGACCCTGTCTGTGTCAGTGACTTTTAAACCAGCTCCCACCTCTGTGGCGCCTGTCACAACCTGGCCTCGAAGGAGGAAGGCAGAGAGGAGCTAGTAAAGCATGGCGGGGCCTGGGCGGTCTGTGCCCCGGGTGGGCAAGGGCGAAGACGCCTGCCGCCACTATTTTCCCAGGCAGTGCGGGCGAGGCGGAGAGAGACTGGGAGCAGCAGTGGTGACTGCAGCGGGCCGGTGAGAGAACAAAGCGTTCTTGCCCTGAGATGGGCCATCGTGAAGCTGGTTTCCCCAGGGGACGTCTTTGGGACTACTGCTGCACGTTGTAGAGACCCCTGTCCGGTGCATCTGGCTTAGGGCGGCTCAGGGTTCCAGCAGCCCACCCTGGGGAGAGGTCGGTAGGGGACGCTGAGGCCCAGAGCTGGTGGAGGGCTGGGGCAGGGCAGGGTGCAGATGGGCAGGACCCGGGCAGGGCTGAGCAGGGTGTAGGCCGTGCCCGCGACGGGGTGAGTTCTGGGGGCGGGTGGCATCCTCAAGAAAGTGGCTGAGTCACCCTGCTCGGGACTCAGCAGGGGCTCCTCGGAACGGAACTGAACCGCCCTGTGAGCAGAGCAGGAGCTGCTACTCCAGGGAGCACCCGGGGAAGCCCTGCGGAAGAACTCAGTGAAGAACTGTGGGAGTACTCAGGCAGCTAGGCTGCAGGAAAAGGTGCCGTCAAGGCCTGGCGCGTGGCCTCTGGGCACCCGGCAGCGTGCGGAAGTGGGGAGCAGACGGCACATCTTTCCTAGCCTGTGTTCTCAAGGGACAAAGTTGTCATTAGCAGGTGACTAGTCCGGTGACTCCTCTACCATTAGGGTTTGGGGTGAACCAGGTGGAGCTGGCACGCAGAAGTGCTTGGGCAGAGGGTGTGGACTTCCAACCCTGTCATTCTCTGTGCCCCGGCCTAATTTCGTTCTTTTTCTTTTTTAATGTATTCAGTACAAGGTCTACAGGCTCTCACTACACTTGTAGTGATCAGACTCGTAGTGGCATGCTGGGGATTGAACCCAGGTCCCTGTGTCTGCCTAAGCAGGTGCTTTAATCCACTGAGCTATCTGGCGGGCTCCCCTAATTTCATTCTTCCAAAAAGAGGCGAAGAGCTACCATGATGTAGAGGCTATTTAATTTATTTATTATTTTTTTGGTGGTACCAGGGATCGAGCTCAGGACCTTGCACTTGCCAGGCAAGCACTTATTCCGCTGAACTATCTCTCCCCAGCCCGAGGCTATTTCATTTCATTTATTTATTTATTTTGGTCTTTTAGACACAGGTTCTCGCTATCCAGCTCAGGCTGGTCTTGAGCTCACTTTCTATTTGTAGCCCATGCTGGTCTGGAACTTGCAACTATCCTTCCTGTCTCAGCCTCCTGAGTGCAGGAAGCATAGCCCGTTCTCGTAATTTGGGCTGCAGAAGTCAGCGAGCAGGCGCCGGAGCTCAGTGCAGGTGGGTGCAGCCCAGCCATAAGGGCGCCTGCTTCCCCCGAGCCCTGGAGATGAAGCGCCTGGTCTCAGACAAGGACTGAGGCTTCGTGTGTGATACTACAGTAATCTAATCAGTTCCTGTAAGAGTAAATAAATTCTGACTCCCACCTAATGACAATGATGTGTAGTCAACGTTCTGTTATCTGCCTTTTTGTGCTTCCTTCTGAAAACCCCAAGAGGTAGACTTGGAACTGATTCCTGCCAGCCAGCTAGCAACAAAGCTGCCTTCCAAAGTTCTCCGAGGCTGCTGTCTTTTGTCCGCAGCTATGAGAGGAGCAATGTATCTTTTTTTCCCCAGCTGATCTGGGAAATTGAAGCTAAGGCACTGAGCTACGACTCCCCTCGGTTTTTATTATTTTATTGTTTTACGAAGGTCTCACTAAACTGCGTTGGACCTGTGGTCCTCCTCCTTCAGTCTTCCAGAACTCTGGGATTATAGCCATTCATCATCCTGCCCACCTAAACCACAGCACTTTTTGTCCCTCGTTTTTATGGAGACAAGGTCTCATGGAATTGAGGCTGGCCTTAAACTAGCATGGCTCCTCCTGCCTCAGCCTCCAGAGCGCTGGGATTACAGGGCTAAACACAACATTCTGGAAGTCAGATCTTGGCGTCGCAGCCCTGTGCCCTCTGCTGTGACCTTCACTGCGGGCGCTCCTGCTCTTCTTCACCCGCAGGGGAATGAAGCGGTGTGCACTGCGCGTCCCGCCGCTGCCCGCGCGGGGTCCCTGGGGGCGGCCGCCGAAGTCTCTTCCTCCGCGGAGGTGGGCCGGGGGCGGGCCGGGCCTCGGCGCGGCGGGGGAGGGAGG